TGAACTGAACTTTGAAGAATTCTTTTTTTAATTCTTTTTACTGAACTGAACTTTGAAGAATTCTTTTTGCATCTGAAAATAAGGCGTCCTAGATAGTACAGAGAATTCAAAAAGAATTCAGTCGCCAATTTTGAGTTCATTTTTAGGTGCAAAAAGAATTTTTTTCACCTAAAAATGAACTCAAAATTGGCGACTGAATTCTTTTTGAATTCTCTGTACTATCTAGGACGCCTTATTTTCAGATGCAAAAAGAATTCTTCAAAGTTCAGTTCAGTAAAAAGAATTAAAAAAAGAATTCTTCAAAGTTCAGTTCAGTGAAAAGAATTAAAATTAGTTAAAAAAGAATTCAGTCGTATGTCACCAATTCTCAGTTCATTTTCAGATGCGGAAAGAATTCTTTTCACTGAACTGAACTTTAAAGAATTCTTTTTGCATCTGAAAATAAGGCATCCTAGATAGTACAGAGAATTCAAAAAGAATTCAGTCGCCAATTTTGAGTTCATTTTTAGGTGAAAAAAATTCTTTTTGCACCTAAAAATGAACTCAAAATTGGCGACTGAATTCTTTTTGAATTCTCTGTACTATCTAGGACGCCTTATTTTCAGATGCAAAAAGAATTCTTCAAAGTTCAGTTCAGTAAAAAGAATTAAAAAAAGAATTCTTCAAAGTTCAGTTCAGTGAAAAGAATTAAAATTAGTTAAAAAAGAATTCAGTCGTATGTCACCAATTCTCAGTTCATTTTCAGATGCGGAAAGAATTCTTTTCACTGAACTGAACTTTAAAGAATTCTTTTTGCATCTGAAAATAAGGCATCTGAAAATAAGAATTCAGAGAATTCAAAAAGAATTTAGTCGCTAATTTTGAGTTCATTTTTAGGTGCAAAAAGAATTTTTTTCACCAAATTGAACTCTAAAGAATTCTTTTTGCATCTGAAAACTCAGAATTGGTGACACACACGCCTGAATTCTTTTTGAATTTTTTTTGAATTCTCTATGCTATCTAGGGCGCTCACATTTATAAATGCTTATAAGCACCGTTCGATTAACATTCCTTATCTTTATTTTGTACTTTTACATATTTTTACTGTTTATTATTATAATTAATATTTTATTTTATACTTTTTGAAGCTTTTTTTTAAATATTTTTTACTTTTTATTTTTATTTATTTATATATTAACATTTACTTATTTTAAAGAACTTTCAACATTGCAGCAGTCGGGAGTTGCTTATTTTTAAAAATAATTTTTACTTTTTATCTTTTTTTCTAAAAATAATCTTGTTAGTTTTTTTTTTTTTAATAATTTTGTTTACTTTTTTTTAACTGAAGATATGCAAATGAAAAGTCGACTTGTTTCACAATGTGCAAACAAAGATTTATCGATTACGATAATCAAATGTCAGGATTTTCCAAAAATACAAGATTTGATACGTGTGAAGTTAGCCTCCCACCATTAATTAAAAAAAATCTTTTTAATTGAAAGCGTGCAAACGAAAAATCGATTTGTTTTGTAATGTGCAAACGAGGATCTATTGATTAAATCGATTTAAATTAATTTTTCTGGAAGTTGCTAATGTGAAGTTGGACCCCTAAATTTATTTTGTGAATAACTTTTGAACGAGAAGTGTGCAACGAAAATACAAAGCATACATGTGGAAACAATGTTCAAATGAATGATGTATAGAACGTTATTTTTCTCAATAATTGGGAGGGTAATTTCATATATATGGGTTTCAAGTTTAGCTTTCAACAAACTAGCTACCGCTTTATTTTTGACCGGATGGGCTGGGAAGTTCTCTTTCATTTGGCTTATTCACTGGACCTAGCCTCTTTCGGATTATTCCGATCACTGCAATACTACCTGGCTGATACACTTCAAAAATATCTGAAAATGCAGTGAAGATTTCATCGAGCTAAAACCGCTATCTCTTTTTCAAAAAGGAATTTATTAACTGCCCGAAAGATGAAGAAAAGTATTAGAAAATGATAGTGAATATTTTGAACATTAACATGTTTGTTATTTTTTTATAAATACATTACTTTTTTATAATTTATTATAAATATTAATTTCTTCGAAAAAAGCACCGAATTAATTTGCATATATTGCATTTAATATATTGCATTTTTCAGTGAGAAATTATAATATTGATGTAATGTTAGTATTGGTTAGTGTTTACTAGGATTAAAATTTCATATGTACATTTGATACGAGAAATCAAATTTGACGAAGATACGTGAAGTTAAACCTTTGTTTTTCAAATCTAGGTACATTACAGAAATTAGTTTGTTTCCCAAACGATACAAATGTCTAAAATACGTCTTAAAGACATTCGGAAAACACTTAAAAAAAATAGAATATTTTTTAGACGTTTCTAAGATGTTTTGTAGACATTTATACTGTACAAGTCATTATTTTTGACAAATTTATCGTATTGCGAACGTCTTTACTCCAGAGATAAATAAATATATTAAATAAAATCAGATAAGAATTTATAGAAATATATATACAAACTTCATTGCAATATTATATGATTTTATCTGAACTTATTCTCATTTCTATCGGAAATTTTAATTTTTTATCTCAGTGCATGTATAAAAATCTTAAAATTTTTCCGTTTTATATCGTATAATTTGTCTTTTTTATATGTCTTTTTATGTTAATTTTATCATTTTTCACCAAGATACGATTCAATTAGATTTTTCTTATATTCAGATAGATTTTTCTTATATAACTCTATTAAATCTTTCTTATATAACTCTATTAAATTTTTCTTATATAACTCTATTAAATCTTTTTAAGCAGATATGACATGGCGACGAAACGTTCGTAATTGCATTAATTTATTCACAAAGACAACGATTTGGTTGAATCAAACAAACACTTTTTTGGAATAAATTTTTTCCAAACAAATTTTTTGATTGATTGAACAAAGTTTTGTTTGACACAACGAAAATATTTAGTTACGGCTTAGTTCCAATGAAATATTTTTGTTGTGTGTCAAAAAGTTTGTTTGGACCATTCCAAAGAAGCGTTTACTTGATTCAACAAATCGTTTTCTCTGTGTATGTACTTAGGTATGCGAGGAGATATTGATCCTTACGATCAATATGAGGAGGACTAGTCACGAAACTAAACTGATTTCAGGACTACGTGAACAAGCTGGAGCGTCAAATCGTTCTAGCGGACTCGCAGGTGTGCTCAGCAATATTAACGCTCCTCCAACAAGAATTAACCGGATACGTGCGCGGGGGTTGGATGCTTCGTAAGGCTTGGCGCGTTTATCAGCACGCGTATACACAGATCTCGCAACTGTATCATCGTACCTTCGGTACAAATCCAACCGGTGTGTTATTACACAATGCGTAAAACACGATAAAGATATTATCGATATTTAAAGATATTTAAAGATATTAAAGGAATACTTGGTGTTGATTAATTGTAAATAAGTTTAATATTTAAAATTTTATTTTTTGTGCTAGAGAATAACTTTTATTTAGGGAGGAGAGAGAGAGAGATTGGTTACTGTAAATAATTATCTTATATTTTTGCTATTATAAAAATAGTATGTAAGAATATTATAAGAAGAGAAAGTATCCCCGCGCGCATATAGATAACGTTTGATAATGTTTAATATTGACATTTATTAATGACTTTTTTATATTAACCCTTTCAGGATGGGAGACATCTTTTGATGCCTTCATGCATATATTTTAGAAACTATCGACCCGATATTTATAAAAATTGATATGTAGGGGTTTTTTGGGATGCTCTTTCCAAATTTGAAGTAAAAAATGTAAAATTCAAAATGGCGGATCAAATATGACGATTTTCAAGATGCTAAATTATGTAAATATGACTCAGTTTCCGTGGAACTTCATACTCTCTAAATTTGAATTAGTGAAAATTTTGACTGATTTCCAGTTTCGCTCTTCTTGGAGCTCATCAGTACCACACAAGCTTTAGTTAGCGGCAGATTGGAACAAACGATATTTAATATATGGATCATACACGAACCATTTTCGCAAGGGTGAGCACAAATGAGCAGATGTGATCAGATCGGGTCAGATCTAAAAATTTTTTTCCTTGGTCGGCCTTTTGAATTTCAAATATTCGATTTCAGTTCTCAAAAAAGTATCTTTAAAAAGTTTCATAGTTCAAATTTCACGAAAATTGAGTGATATTTATCATTTTTTCCGCCATATTGGGTCCTCCATCTTACATCACAGAATTTTAAAAATCTAAGTTCAGATTCAAGAATTCAGGCCCCAAAAATCCATAGAATACGTACTATAATTATTTCCTTATAATTATTTCCCCGAGCAACCCCCCGTCCTGAAAGGGTTAAGTAGTGACAGATCTCGCTAAGACAAGTCTGATGGAGCATTCTCGACAATCTCGCCTTTTCGCAGGACTCAGCCCGTGCAATGGCACTCCCACGAGCAATGGATATCACCTGCAGAGTCCGCAAAGCCCGGGATCTTCGGAATGGTCGATACCCTCTTGCAATGGTTACGCGAACAACATGACACCCGTTTCGTCCCCATCAGGTCTGCGAAGCTCTCTATCAATGTTCTTCTCGCTCACTGGCATCACGTCCGAACAACAGACACCGTAATTGTTTCTTCTTACAAAATTTCTCGTCTCTCTTTGTCCTCTTCGCCCATTCCGTATATCTCACCCGAGGGAACATCCCACGATCGCAGTGCCACGAACTTGTTCACGGTAAATTCTTACGTTACTTTTGCTACTCGCGGCTATACAACTTGGGTCACTGTGCTCTTTTCCCTCGTTCTGAACGACTGACACGTCTAAACTTATCAGGTCGACACGTTGAGCGCCGCGTCACTCTTATTTGGGTGATGGGTGAATTTCGGTGAAGCTCATTTCATAAGTAACGATTTTACTTGTCTGTGATTAAGGGAAAAATTTTTTTCAAATTTATAAAAAATTTGAATAGGGAACAGTACACTATCATTAACACAACACATTGAGAATTTGGGCTTGGTGGGACTCACACGTGAATTTAACGTCAACGTATTAACTTTTAGACTGCCGGGAAAGTCACTTTTGTGGCTCTACACAAATCTCAAAATTTTACGTTATGTGTATGTCACTTATATAGAAAAATTTTTGAGAAAAAACCACTTTTTTAATGAAAAATACCGGCAGCCTAAAGGTTAAAGATAGCTGCTTCCCAGCAAAAGACACAGGCGACACAGAGCGACACAATATTGTGTTCGATACAATGCTTTCCTTACAATGATACAATATAAAACAAATACACACAGCTGAATTTATGACTACTAATTGTTTAAAGAATATAATAAATTCCAAAAAACTGCACTTATTTTCTATAAGTCTGCGCATATATTGTGCATTTTGTATTCGTAGTGTCTATATATTCCTTAATGCAATAATATTACGATATTTAATATGATAAACTATATAATAAACTAAGAATGTTCTACTTTAAATATTGTTCCAGCCAAATTAGTTTGCTTGACGGAATACTGAAACATATTTATTTAATTAAAATTATTGCATGAAATTAATTGTAGTAAGTTACTATACTTACTGTGTGTGCAATAATAACACTTAATTTTTTAAAATTATTTCATCATAATCAAATTACTTTGATTGTCTTAAATAAATACATAAATCGATTTCTTTAGTTATTCTGTGTATTGAGAGGAAATAATCAAAACGTGAATATTTTCCGAAATATTTTACATTATATCCTGATATTTTTCAGTATAAAATATCAAATATCTTATTCACTATTATATTAAACTATTATATTAACTATTATATATGTTCAACAATACTTTAATATTACTTTACTATTTTTATTGAATAACGAAGAAAATCGATCGGTACTCTTAATCTTTGCATACTAGTGTTTCAATAAATCTACAAAATCCAATTTAAAAACTACTAACAGTTGTAAAAAAACTTTCTGATGCTAAACGCGGTCAAGGTTGAATCAATATTTAACAATATTAAATTGCAACGTCTATAAGACATTACAGTTCAGCGGACATTAGACGTTTCTACAATGTCTTTTCAACGTTGAATCTACATTTCAAAATGTTGATGCAACGTTGCAATGTCGCAACGCAACCTTTCTGAAATATTGATTCAACGTTTGCGTGCTGTATAAAGCTTATACAAAGATATCTAATAGATATTATGTTCTGTGTGGAAAGTGGTGTTCCTAAAAGCAGCTTTACATAGCGCCTCAATGTTTGACACTGTGTCTATATTTGTGTCTCTTTGCTGGAAAGCAAGCAAAGACAATAACTGAAATGGAATGTACTTCGCAGCTTCGTGGAACCAACGGAGGTGTCTCGTCTAATGTCGGCCGTGAGTTTCGGTTATGGAATATACCAATTATGTGTGAGCCTTCTACCGCCTTCCCTGCTAAAGGTAATTCACTTCTTGGGCTTCGAAGGCGACAGACAGGCTGGTCTCAACGCTCTCATGTACGCACGGCTCAGCGAAGATATGCGCGCACCGCTCGCCACGTGAGTATTACTTAAATTTTAATAAGATGTTTTTTCACAACATGTAGACTGTTCTCTAGTGGAAGTGTTACAAAGATATAAAATAATGTCAATGTTAGCAAGCGATACGTTGCTTGCAGGGACTCGGACTAGATTAAAATTTCGGTTTTATTACGATAACAGTCCGCACTTACTGATTACATAACGCTATTCATTATTCTCAGATTTGTAAAAGAAAGAGATCGTAAAAATTAATGTTCAAAATGAATAACGAATTATTTTTTTTAAATAATAGTAATGAAATAAAATAAGATAAAATCTGATGCATTGTATAATGATATTTTTTCAAACTTATAATGCTTTGAAAAAATAGCTTACCAATGTTTTTTTCTTATATCGAATTTTCCTTGATGTAAATCTTTTATTTGCGTGGATATATCCAATGAAAAATTTTTCATATATAATTATGTAAAATTATATAAAATTATATGATTTTATATTATTATATATAATTATGTATGAAATTTGTCCATACATGCTAAAACATGTTATTTATATATAATCATGTATAATTATATATATGATTTCATATATATTTTTACATAATTACGCATACAATTATATGTAATTATACATATAATTATATATATAATTATACATATATTATATATAATTAAATATAATTATACATTATTCATATAATTATATATAATTATAATTATAATAATATATAATCATACATAATTGTATAATTATATATAATTATGTATAATTGTATTATAATTACGTAATACATAAATACATAATTATAAATACATTGTATTATAATTATGTATAATTTTATATGATTATATATAATTATACATAATTATGGACAAATTTTATATATAATTATGCATGAAAAATTTGTCATTGGATACTTTACTTCTATGTCTGTACGCTATATTCTGTGAACTTCATATTGTACCTATGATTGATTGAAACGCGCGATAGTCTAGTATCAATACTATGCCATAGATTATCTCTACTTTGGTATCACACGATCGTACGTCCATTCTTTGCACTCGACGGATCCAATGTAAAGGCGGGTGTCGCAGAGGCGAAACAGCTTATTGCTGAGTGTCACACCGAATTTCATGATTCTGCCCTCTTTCTTTTCTTCGCCGGAAGAGTGGAGCGTCTAGAGGTAGTGTAATAGATCGATTTAGGTATATACGGACTAATTAATCCAGGATTGGGAACTAATGCGTTACTCGTAACGCTGTTACTCGCGCGCGTTACAGGTTACTTCTTTTCAGTAACGACTTGGTAAAGACGTGATTCTTTCCCATTAGGAATGGTGATTATAGTTAACAGTGATTACATTTTTTGAGTAAATATAATCTCATAATTTTCATTGTTACTTTATACACATGCAAAAACATGTACGTGGAATAGGCACCAAAGTATAAAAACAAGGTCTTCAAAACTTAGTGAAAAAAATAAAAGAAATTGTAAAGATTATTTACTTAAATAACGAATTACTTCTTAAAATGAATAAGAGTAAAATGAGAGTAACAGTACCGAGTTATATTTTGTAATATATATTTTCTAAGGAAGAAGTCTCTCTCTTTCTCTCTTTCTCTCTCAATAAGGTCGTTTTTATATCTACGTCAAATCCTTTAAAAATTACGTTATTCTGATAGTTCAAGTCCTAAGTACTTTAGGAAGAATAATTTTTCGACCACGTAATACTTTACCACTTATTACGTTTAACTGGTATCAGATAATTTAAGAACTTCAAAGGTTTTTTCAGTATTTAAGTTTTTTTCAGTCTTTAAGTATTATAAACGCATTAACTCCCACAATATACTTTTCATATCTTGCAGTTAGTATCTTAATAAAATTTGTGACAAAAGGAAAAAGTGCGAGTTAAGGTGGAACAATATGAAAAAAATAAAAATATGTATGAAAAATAATGCAGGTGCACAATTTCTAACTCATGTTCAGAAAATCTTTTATATGAAAATGTTGCACATTAATCCTTACAATATATTCTTCATATTTTGCAGTTAATATTTTAATAAAATTTGTTGCAAAAGTAGAATATGGAGTTTAATGCAGAACAATAAAAAAAAAAACAAAATATATAAAAAGAGCTTTTTTCTATATACGATATTAAAATAAACATCTTATTGTGTTAAAAATATGTCCTGATCATTTTTATTCTTTTTTTCACAAATATACGACAAGTTGCTATATTTACAAACTAAAAAATCCGTAGTGTTCTTAAATTATCTGAGATGAGTTAGATGTGATGCGTGCTCGCTTTGGCAGTAAAACATTACGTGGTAAGATTATTTTTTTAAGTATTTAGGGTTTAAACTACTAGATTGACGTAATTTTCAAAAGACTTGGCGTAAGTAAAGTACATCGATACATTCCACCATCATAACTAATTTACTTTAAAAAATTGAAAAATTTACTTTTACAATTTCTAGTGACAGTATTTATTGCTTCAAGTGAATTTTCAAATGAGATTTCATTCTAAGAAATTTAGTCAGGAACGAGTAACGGTAATGAGTTATTTTTAAAAAGTATTTTTCGGTACAAGTCTTGATATTCTTGTCGAAAAACATAATGACGTCATCACTGATACATTACATTACGAAAATCTGCAAGTATTTATAAGTGTGAGCATTTCTAATTACATATACCCAGTGAAAAATTTTTCATATATAATTATATAAAATCATATAAAATTATATATAATTATATATAACTATATATTATTATGTATCAAATTTGTTCATTCATGTTCATACATTCTACTTATATATATAATTATATATAATTATGTATAATTATATAAATTCATATATAATTTTGCATAATTACGCATAAATTTATATGTAATTATACATATTGTTATATATAATTGTGTATAATTATATATAATTTTATATGATTATATATAATTATACATAATTATGTATGGACAAATTTCATACAAAATTTTGCATGAAAAATTTTTCATCGGGTATGCTAAAAAGATAGCATTAATTATAATAATTATGATAATTATGATTAATAATGATAGCATTAATTATCTAATTCTAATGTCATTAGAGCCATCGGAGGAGTCAGTATAATATTATTTGACTCCAACAGAGTGTAATCATTGTAGAAAAAGATGTTAAAAATAATTTTCCCAACTCTGAATTAATTTTCGTGCTATTTTCTACTGTTGCTAAATCCTACCACGTAACTTCGCAGTCGAACGTCAATGGAGCTCTTGAAGCTTACGGTAAAGCTGTCGAGACCTCGACACAGCGAGAGGTCAAATTGCTGTGCTTGCACGAAGTGGCTTGGTGTCACATGATACGCTTGAGCTACGAGGAGGCGTATCGATCCTTGCTACAGTTGCAGCATCAGTCCAGGTGGTCCAAGAGCTTCTACGCGTATTTAGCTATGGGTAACTTTAACATGTCGATGTTGAACCATCGGGTTGAGCAAGCCTTGATGTTTGAATAGAGCGGCTTCCTCTACCATGATCCACATTTGCAGTTTGTTGCGGTGCGAATGGCAAATTTGACGTTCTCTTGACGACCTACGATAAGATGCTCCACTGGTTCCTCGAGATGAACAGAGAGACGCAGCTTGGCGCCTTCATCTTACGCAGAGTGCCGAAACTCATTGATAAGGACACTGGGAGTCCTTACACGATTCTGTACTACAGATTGCTGGTGTACGAATTGCTGTACTTATGGAACGCCATGCCCTCCTGCTCTGCCGAGTCCCTGCGAGGAATACTGTTGGGTAGTTAATGGATTACTAATCTGAAGTTTGCAAATCGATAATCAACGAAATCCCGAGTGACAGAAAAACTCGATGGACATCTTAGAAATCAAGATGCCGGATGTTTTCGAATCGAGATACAAGATGTTTGAATATTTCCACGACTTTCTTACTCTTTTGTAAGATTGCTTTTACGTCGAGACTTCTCATCAATCGTTTTGCTTTATCGACAGAGTGTAAAGGAAATCAAACCGAAGAACCAATGGTGGGTTTAGCTGACCTCGTGGAGGGTGCAGCGTATTCTTATTTGGGAGACATAGAGGCGGCCATTAAATGTTACCGAAATTGTGTGAAACGACGGTGTCCGTCCAAAGACGAGTACGACCAACACGTGAGCGCGTTCGCTCTTTACGAACTAGGTAGCAGCCTTTGTAACAATAATGTAAGTATACTTAATATTTAACCCTTTCAGGACCGTGGGAAATATTTTTCCCCGATATTTCTTTCTAATTTAGTCGCGAATTCATAATGACAGTTTCTTTTTGGCATAGAAAACGGAACGTATTTATTGCGATTTTTAAACTGGCAACACCAACAAACCTGAGCTGTCAAAATAAGTCGGCGGCAATTGCAAATTTTTTTTATATTTTTCATTCATTTTATGTTATAAAAAACGATTAAATACTTTCTTTCTCTTTTGGTTATCTTGTGGATCTGTAAGGGTTACGGTATGAGGGCAAAATTCTGAGCTTGCAACCCAATTCTAATATCTAATATATTCATCATCTTCAATATATTGCTATATCCTTCATTGAAGAGACATACGGCAATAAAAGAAGCAATTTCGACAATTTTCATGCCTGCATTCAATGCTCGACGCATGATCTTCAAGCTGTAACTCGAAAAGTACTTTGAATTTCGGCCTACAATTTTTTTAAGAATATATTCTAAGATAGTATTATTATCCATTAAGACAACTTTTGAAAATTCGATTTCTTGAACCTTATAAATCAGATTCCTTCATTAAATTAGTGACTGATAATCTATTAAGGTTTGATTTCCGGTTTGAGCCGGATTTTTCTTTATCTGATTCCATCGTTTTACGAACATTTCAGTCCGCTTCATTAGGGAGAAACGACTCGATGTCTAGCATTTTATTTACCTTTCATCTTATTGTATTCATGTAAAATCACCCCTTTTTAAATTGCACTATTAGTTTGGTAAAAAAAAAATTTTCTATCTGCATTGAATGTACTTGGCAAATTTATAAATAAATTATTGATTATTGATACAATGTCAAGTAATATATAAATTATTTATCTTTAATAATCTCTTGATTTACACAGCTTTGCATTCTCTATTTCAGAACTCCGATGAAGGCAGAGGTTTTCTAATAAACGCGCAATCTCAATACAGAGATTACGACTTTGAAAGTCGCCTCAACGTGCGTATACATTCCGCCCTGAAGAACGTACAGTGACGTCAATTCGAAAGCGTCTGATATTACATTATTATGCAAAATAATTTCGATATTAAAAACAGATATATCCGCGGATGCGACAGTAACATTTTATGTGTTACCTCAGCCAAGATCGATTTCAATTAATGAACAATAAGAATATACACTGAGGGAAAAATTATCGTAAAATCAGCAAATATTTTTTTGATGAGTGCCATTAATATATTTACTTAAATCTAAATTCTCTTTATTTAAATCAAATATTGTTTACCTGATTTAAGTAATCAAAATTTAGTTTAAATAAAGAGAATTTAGATTTAAATAAATATGTTAATGGCACCCATCAAAGAAATATTTGTTGATTTTAAGGTAATTTTTCCCTCAGTGTATAGAGCCACGTACTATATTTGTCTATATTTGAGTCTAGGATGCGATTTCGTAACTTTTTAAGCTCTTTAAACCATTAACGGTAACGTTACAAGCTTTGAATTCGAATGTTGCTTTAAAAAACGTAAGCATAATTTTAAATAATAGCTTTAAAACAAAGAAAACTCAAAATAGCACGCGAGCTTCATGTCACGAAATTTATATAGAATGGCAAGTTTTATTTACAAAAATTGTAATAAATTATATGGCAAAAATTTATAATAATTTCTAATAAATTATCTAATAATAAACATGTCTGAAGACGAAGGGAATACATGCGAGTTTCGCGCCACAAAATTTTTTACGCTCATTTATGTAGAACGACTACTGTTTTATTTATAAAAATGATAAAAACATGCTCTTCGATAAAATTCATCGAATTATGCTACGAGTGTTCCTTTATATTTATCTAGAGAAATGTCTACAGATCAACAAAGAATCGCATTTTGTTGTACGATCATATGTACGCATATATGATGATATGCTGAATTGTAATCATGTATATACATTTCAAATATTGATACACGAGTGTCTCTCTCACTCTGTTGCATCTCTGAATGGTGAAACTGCCCAGATAGCCAAGTGTGACTGAGCACTTTGAGTAAACTAATGCACAGATATTGTTAAATGTTTGCTGATATTTGTTAAGGATGTACTATATAAAAATAGTACCAATTTGATAAAACTTTGGGTAACATTTCCTTTATTATGTAAATTTCTTTGTACGTGTTCTTATGGCAAAAGCAACTTTCCTGAATGTAATGAGTAAAAACGTGTAGAAAAAATAGTACTAAAAATTTAAGTATTTTTATACATATAGATCCTGAATTATCGTGACTATTATATTTGCAGAATTTGATTAGTTTTCACATCACAGTTTCAGAGAAATTAATTATTATTTGTGACAATCTTACGATTATCGTAAGAAGTTAATAACTAGGCTAACTGGATATTAGAATGCGCAAAATAAAGATCGTCGACTGCATAAGAACATTATCGATTTCTAATCTTTCTTTTTGAGAATCACTCTATTCCGCGGGGACAAACGAAAACGATGCTTGGACAAACAAAAACGATGCTTGGGCAAACGAAAGCCACAAGTGGACAAACAATTTTAGTCAGTAGAATGCGCAAAATAAAAATCGTCGAGCGCATAAGAACATTGACGATTTCTTATTTTTCTTTTTGAGAATTACTCTATTCCGCGGGGTGGACAAACGAAAATGATGCTTTGACAAACAAAACGATGATTGGACAAACAAAAGCGATGCCTGGAAAACTACAAGTGGACGAACGATTTTAATTATTAGAATGCGCAAAATAAATATCGTTGACCGCATAAGGTAAACGTATTACGAATTACGATACGTAAAGTAAAGACTCTCTAAGTATTCTAAGCACTCTAAGTAAAGACTAATTTTTAAGAGATTATTAAACAAAAATAAAGTGGTACTAGGTAAGACTATAAATTTTATCTAATATTAATAGTGTAAATAGCAAAAAACATATAAAAGTTAAAAATAAAGGAAATTATTTACATGTACACAAGAATTAAGTGTGAACTGCAAATGTCCCGATTTATGCCACTAATATGTCCCAAATGACGCTACCTTTCCTGATCTGTTTTCAATATAGATAATTATAGTAAAGGAAAGGAAATTTTTACACCTGTTATCTATTCAAATATATTTATTATTAATTATATTCATAAATAATTTAAAACTTAAATTAAACAAAATAATTTAAAACTTTATTTTGAGAATTATTAGTAATAAACTAATAAAATAAATAAATAAAATTAAATAACATGTTCCGTACGGACCGAGTACGGAACAGTTTTCGTTTTAAAATTTTCTAAAGAATCTGTCATTAAAATAACATGCGGTAGTTTCGGGACACCCTGTATAAAGGGTGTGAATTAAACTAAATACTAACTAAATTAGTGAATGAAATTAATATATTCATATATATTTTTTGTATTTTAAAATAGGGAATTATTTAATGGGACTATTACCTACATTATTCACAGTTATTAATTTTATATATCATTAAAGATTTTATGTACCTTATAAGTATGTTAACTCCCACTGAATTAAACTAAATATTAACTAAATTAGTGAATGAAATTAATATATTCATATATATTTTTTGTATTTTAAAATAGGGAATTATTTAATGAGACTATTACCTACATTATTTACAGTTATTAATTTTATATATCATTAAAGATTTTATGTACCTTATAAGTATGTTAACTCTTACTGATTTGTTTTAAAATGTTATTACACATCCATGGCGGTTTTTTACGTGCATATAAATCCGCCACCTCTGTTATATTATATAAAAACCATATAATTGTATAATATTTTATTATTTTATTATCTTTCAATTTAGTTTAATTTATATTAACCATACAAAACTAAAATGTTTTATATTTCAATATTTTATATTTCCGTAAGCTTGTCGTTATCGTGTGAACCACTATAATAGAAATTGAGTAAAAGTTAACAAAATTGCAATTATCTTAATGGAATATTATTAAATTTTCAGTTCTTTTACAGTAAAAAAATTAATATTTTAAAATCAAATATTTTCACGAGTTTGTCAGTGGTTCACACGATAACGACAAGCTTACGGAAATTTTCTACCTAAAATTCAGCTTAATTGAACCATCGAGAATCAAAATATTACTGCAAAATGACGACCTTGAAAAGAAAAATGAAATATATTTTAACTGCATGTACCATACACTTATATTGAGTATTTGATCATCAAAATTATATTTTTCTTCTCTTTACATGTTGCATAAATACACGTCAAAATAACACTTTTGCATATTCATCCAGTTTGTCATAAAAAATTGTGAAAGAACAAGCAATTTTCAGGCAATCTGACCCTCCAGTCCCTTTAAAGCGTATTATACGCGCATTACCCTTATAGAAATATCATACTAAAAATCATTGATAATTACTTATTTTCAGTATTAAAAATACTGGATAATAAGTAATTATCAATGATTCTTAGTATGATATTTCTATAAGGCTGGCGCTCCTTAGATAGTAACATCATTAGTCGCGAATTATTGAACATCTTGTGTAACGGTTTGTTTCGCTCGCATTTCATTTTTTTCGCGAATATCGATTCTCCAAGCTATAGTAATTACTAATGGTTGCTCTAACTTTGACACTCACGTCCAACGAAAGTAACGCATTGTAAGAAGCTTCGTCGAATATCTGGCATGCATTAATCCGGCCGACCTTCGTTCCTTCATGTTCTGTGATCATCCGGAACACATTATTATGAGACGACGCTGATGAGCGCACGGAACACTTTCTGTTGCGTCAATGCAGCAAACTGTCCAGGCATTCCGATCACCTGCAACCAGCGACCCGCTTGGTACTTAAGACTCGTCAAACCCTTCGCTTTCTGCGTCATCACGTCACTGCTCGGTACGAAATTGGCTTCACAACTAACCTAGATAGCACAGAGAATTCTAAAAGAATTCAGTCATATCCCTTATAGAAATATAACTAAGAATCATTGATAATTACTTATTTTCAGTATTAAAAATACTGGATAATAAGTAATTATCAATGATTCTTAGTATGATATTTCTATAAGGGATATCACCAATTCTGAGTTCATTTTTAGATACAAAAAGAATTCTTTTCACTGAACTGAACTCTGAAGAATTCTTTTTACATCTGAAAATGAACTCAGAATTGACATACGACTGATATCTTTTTGAATTCTCTGTACTATCTGAGAAGAGAGATTTCGATAAAATGAATATGTTTCTCGTTTGATCTGCAAGATTCGAGATACTTTATAACAAGAAATTACACCGATATTTTTAGTGATGTCCGTAACCCATCTTTGCGATAAATACTCCGCCAGTGCTTCGTTCAAGTTGGTCAAAGCAGACTTGGCAAACTTGAAGTCTTATATGGGGACTCTCTCGGTAATTTAATAAAGTTTAATTGCAGAAGTAAAGCTAATATGATGGAAAAATTACGATAAATGTTTGGAAGTACTACTCTATCAAAAATTGCGTTTTTTTGTAATATAACAACAAAATAAGCCATGAAAATATATATGTATAAATTTTAAAATGTGTTATATATATATAAATTTATTTATGTATTATGTATGTATAAATTTTAGAATATGTTTAATATAAATTTAGTATAAATTTTAAGGAGGGAGCATAAGATTCTTTGTGAAGAAAGAATCGAAAATGTCAAAGCATATTAAACATTTTAATCATCTATCGTACATAAGTGATATTTTCCAAACGTGAACTTTTTCGAAATTTCTTAGTTATTGGATAATTTTAGAACTTCAATATTAATTATGAAAATTTTCCTAAAAATGTATTTTTCTTGTGTAATTCTCAAGTAATTTTTGCAATAATTTGTGCAGTTACCACGATGTTTCTATCGTCAAAAGTCAACTCAGTGAACAATATAAGAGTATTGTTAATAGTTAGAAACGTTTATATATATTTATAAACATAAAGGACTTTCTAGCAAAGTTGTAACTTTCATAGAATCAATTTAAGAAATTTTTAATATGCCTTGACATTTTCGATTCTTTCTTCACAAAGAATCTTATGCTCCCTCCTTAAAATTTATACATATATATTTTCATGGCTTATTTTGTTGATTATATTACAAAAAAAAAACGCAGTATTTGATGGAGTTATACTTCCAAACAATTACCGCAATTTTTCTATCATATTAGCTTTACTTCTATACTTTTACTTCTTACTTTTTTACAAGAACTGAATACTGAAATACTTCGCAACTTTCGTAATTGTCGTAATTTATTTCATGATTCTCTAAATTACATTAGCTGGAGGTAAAGAGTATGACAGAGATGCGCGACGAATTGAAGAACAAATTGAGAGAAGTGGGTAGCGTGATTCCAAAAATGTCAGAAGCTATTATCAAGCTGCGGGACGAAGTGTCCGAGGGTGAGAAAGGCGCAGATTATAAATGGTGACCGGATGTTGCGAGCGGCGCAGTGGCATTTCTTTGATGTGTCCGATATGCATATTGGTTTGATAAATAGAGCGACATGCCATACGTCGGCGAGCTTTCGCTTGCAACAAAGCGCGAAAGCCTTTCTCTTTATATTATTCACGCCCGCGCACAATTGTTTGTTATATTTTTATTTTTAACCTCTATTTAACAAATACTTGTTGGCTGGCTTGCGTGTTAGAGAGAGCCGACGCTTAATACTTACTACAGATATGAATAAAATAGAAATGAGTTTGCACACGAAGAACTTGCTGAAGGCTTTATCATCGGACGCCGTTAAAAATATGGTAAGGAGCGAATTAGAGACGTACGATGCCGACAAGACTGGAAGAACGGATTACGCTCTCGAGAGTTCAGGTTTTGCATTAACTACTCTATTTTTATTCAGTTCTTTCTCTCTCTTTTTCTCTCCCTCCCTCACTCTCTTCCCTCTATCTCTCTTTTCTTTCCGCCCCCTTACATTCCCCTCTTTCTCTCCCTTGCGTATATATATATATATATATATATATATATATATATATATATATATATATATATATATATATTCGTACCTACGCTTTTTGCACCGAACGTATTATTCAAAGAATAACATTATAAAGTGCTAATATAATTTTATGTATAGAGGGTAAAAAGTTCCTAGATAGCACAGAGAATTAAAAAAAAATTCAGTCGTATGTCATCAATTCTGAGTTCATTTTCAGATGCAAAAAGAATTCTTCAGAGTTCAGTTCAGTGAAAAGATTCTTTATGCATCTAAAAATGAACTCAAAATTGATGACGATTGAATTCTTTTTAAATTCTCTGTACTATCTCTGTGCTGTCTTTAAACTTTCTTAATATTAATTTGCCAAAACTCATGTTCCGTTTTTCTCAAGACATTTAGCTTTCTACGGAAAAAAGGGAGCTATTTCTCAATTTAAAATACACCAGGAAAATTATACGAAGTAAATTTCGATAGATATTTTTTTGTAAATATTACTCTGGAAATTTTCTTTCGAGAATAAACATCGATAGTTTACGCTTGAGCGAAAAAACAAGCTATAGGTATGACTTTCTCGATATGTTTTCATACGAAGTCCTGGTCTGTAGGTGGTGAGATCCTTTCGACACGTGACACCGAACTCTATTCAACTGGCGTATCAGTGCTCAACTTGTTCGCGCAAGGTACGCCACGCTGTCAACAACAAAATACACCGCGAGCCGTAATACAGGTTATCTGTTATATCTAATTTCAATATCGTACACTGAGAGAAAAATTATCTTAAAATCAACAAATAATTCTTTGATGGTTGTGCCATTAACATATTTATTTAAATCAATTCTCTTCACACGCACAACACATACACACATACATTTAAACCAAATATTGTTTACTTAAATCAGGTAAATAATATCTAATTTAACGCTCAAATGTGCTGAAATTTTACGTTGATTTGAATCATTTATTTTACTACGAAAATGAGGTTTGTTGTTTATAAAGACCATTATTGTTTATAAGTACCATTCCTATCAATTTCGATGTCGCTCTATCGAATAACGTTGAGAAAATAAAAAAAAAATCGTAATTTATGTAAAATTTTTGCAAAATAAAAAAAACACATGTTTTTAAGGCTAATTTTTTCTTCTTCCGCTATTTTCTCTATAAAAACGTGTTAGTATTGTTCGGGAAAATGTCTAAAACGTGTTCCCGACACTTAAACTTAAAAAATATACCATGGGTATTTTTTTCAACAAACATGGCGGTCGATTTGAAGCGTTTAATTCGAATTTTTGTTTATAATTGATTATCGAAATTGGTAGGAATGGTACTCTTTATAAACAACAGACCTCATTTTCGTAGTAAAATAAATGGCTCAAATCAAAATTTGAGCGTTAATGGGTTAAATATATATATATATATATATATATATATATATATACATATAAAGAGAATTTAGATTTAAATAAATATCTCAGATAGCACAGAGAATTCAAAAAGAATTCAGTCGTATGTCACCAATCCTGAGTTCATTTTCATATGCAAAGAGAATTTTTCAAAGTTTAGTTAAAATAACTCTCTTTGCATCTAAAAATGAACTCAGAATTGGTGACATACGACTGAATTCTTTTTGAATCCCTTTTTTGAATTCTCTGTGCTATCTGGGATGTTAATGGCACCCATCAAAGAAATATTTGTTGATTTTAAGTTAATTTTTCTCTCAATGTATTGATCTCAAATTATTCGCCAGACCGGTGTTTTGCCAGGTGAATGCTGGGCCTTCAAGGGCAGCACCGGCAGTGTGGTGATACGATTACTCGGCTATGTGCACATATCTGGAATTAGTCTGGAACATATTTCCTCGATGATATCCCCGACTGGCGAAACAGACACTGCGCCTAGAGATTTCTCCGTTTGGGTATGCGATCATAAGTAATGTAAAATATTAGGTCTGTTTCTTTTAGTTGAAATATTATGTATTTTTTCCGTAAAAATAAAACAAGTACATGATCTAACGTTGAAGGAAAAAGGAACGAAATTTCTGTGTAATATTAGTTCAGCTAAAAAATACAGACCTACTGAATCATCTAATGAGACCTATTAGACCTTTATGCTGCTCGGAATATCGCGAGTTTATTGTTCAAATACAGCTGCTGGGAGAAAAGTTGTAATGTTACTTTAATAAACTTCAAGATGCGTGCAATATTCAATAGGAAACTTTATTTTCTAAAAATAATCACAAATTAAACAAATTCTTTAATTGCATACGGAACGTCGTAAAATTCACTGAAAAAAATGTAACTTTTTTTCCATTGACTATACATTGATTATACAAAAAGATAATGATACATTATAAAAAAATAATTTGAACCTAGTTAAGGGGGCTTTCTAGTGTAAAGACCCGTTTTCAAGGCAATTTTTCAAGGGAATTAATTTTAAGCAAATGGTTAAACTTACAGAGTTAATGTTTTATTCTGAAATTTATTCATTTTTGAAGAAACATTTCAATGAAAAATGGCGTGACTTGTTTCATCCACTTGTATTTTTTCTCCAGTTTTGAATAAAAAGTTTTGATGAAATTTGAGATGTTTCTTCAAAGATAAATAAATGTCGGTACAAAACATTAACTCTGTAGATTTAACCATTTGCTTAAAATTAATTCCCAAAAATCGGCTTGAAAACGAGTCTTCACACACTAAAATAGCTGCTTAAACCAAAATTTGACAAGCGAAATCAGAAAACAAATGCGAAGTCATAATTTTCATCTTTTGAAGTCACTGTTTATGATTGCATATAATTACATTTATAGTATTGTTTTTAGGGTTTGGCCGACCTGGAGGATAAGACACCTTTTTTATTTGGCGAGTTCACGTACGACAATGCTGGTCCTCCGTTACAGCACTTTGAGGCGCAGGTGCAATATTCGATACAACTGTTTTTAACTAACATTGGCCATTGAAATTGAATTCTTTCGCTGCGGAAACCACATATATCGGTTTCAAAGAGCAGCCTCATTTTTTAATAACGTATATATACTAGGATTCAGCGTTTTAATGCGACCCTGACGACATCTAATGTTTTTGTTATTACCTGCGTATGATAATTGTCAGACACCTTGCAGAGAAAAGAAGGGTTTTTACCGATTATGACAATTATCTTTCAAAGTTGTACGTTTTTAGATTTGATTTCCGGGTTTGAGCCGCGTGACGATGCATTGGGTCGTTCCTTCCTGATGAAGCAGACTGAAATGTTCGCGGAAAACATCGGAATTAGACAAAGAAGAATCCACGCGGTTCAAACTCGGAAACCAAATCTAATATTCATGGACACCGCGAAAGCTTCAAATATCAAATTTTATACGTTTTTCTTCAATTTTTTTACATTTTTCCTGTATAGTGTATAATTTAGGTCTAATTAAGTTGAGCTTAATTTTAGCTAACACACCCATAAATTTGAATTACTCTTTGGGTGGATACTTGAACTAGCTGCGTGGCCTTGATATTACTTTTCTATGATCGAATATCGCCGAATATCGCCTAACATATAGCAAACACATTCCGATTGAATTTCCTGCTTAAAATGTTGGATAGAAAATGATAGAAAATTTATGGTGATTTTGACTTGCATATTTTACAACTCATTTACGAAATTTGGTAAGTAAATTTATATACCATGTATTGTCTATGATTGATAAATATAAATTGATTATACTAACTTTCATATTCAACACGAAAGAATAGTATCATAAGATACCCCTTAAGAAAAATTACTTTAAGATGTTCAAATTAACTCAAAGTTACTTAAAGTTACTTAAAGTTATTTGTAGTTAAGTAAAAATTACTTACAGTTAACTGACTTTATGACTGAATAACTTTAAGTAATTTTAAGTAACTTTAAGTTAATTTGAACAACTTAAAGTAATTTTTCCTAAGGGTATGATTAAACTATATAGATATTCTTTTCATTTTTATCTGACCATTTTGTAACTATCATTATAAGTAGAATTATTATAGAAGAATATTATAAGTAGTTTATTATATATATAAAATAATAATAAATACATTATGCGATATTTACTATGATTTAGAAATATCAATTTATTATATAAATATTCAAGATGATTGAAAAGAATAATATTATAAAATATGATTACAATATATAGAAAGTCTATGTTGCATGGCTTCGATGCATGATAAGTCGTATAAATCATTATAGGAATTCTATCCATTTCAATCTTATCCAATTATTTTCTATCAAATATTTTAAGCAGGGTTGCGCCACAGCAAAAAGATTAATTATTAGTAAGTGTAATGAAACGTTAAAAATATAAAATTGGTTGTAGAATCGAGCAGTGCAACCGTACGAAATAATCGAGGTGAAAGTCCATTCGAATAGTGGTAACCCGGAATACACGTGCATCTACAGAATACGAGTGCATGGCACGCTTGATCGAGCACAACCATAAATATACGTATACAAGAGGTATTTGAGAATAATATTTCTGAAACTTCTTAGTCAATTTAGTCCGATATATCCAGAGTTAAGAAGTAACTATTGTTACGAATTAATTTTGTAAGTAACGACTCTCTCGATAATGACGTTCTCTTTTTTTATTAGTAACTGTAATGCAATTTTTTTAAATAACAGTAACGAATATAATCCTTTCTTCAATCATTATTTTGCGTGATTTTTTCGTATATACGCATTATAAAATAAATATGAGGCTCTGAGATCAAATAATCAAATCAAGTGGATTATTAAGAGCCATATACTAATTTTTATGTAGGACAAAGTTTACTGCAAAAAACAATTCTTAATATTATAGTTATAATTAGTGTTTTTTGGTATTTAGATAAAATGATTTAAGTCATTTGATAACAGATGGAGAAATCTCATTTTGATCATCTCATCTATATTTAGATGGTAAAGATTATGCATCTTTATATTAGACAAAAAATGTGCTATTTTATCTAAAAAACATGTTTAAGATGTTTTTTATACGATATTTAAGAGTAGATATATATTTGTGTAAATTGTTCTAAAAAAATTTAAAAAACAATCTAGATGAATCACATAAACATCTCATCTTTTCACCTAGATGTTTCAAAAGTAAAACAATCTTCATTTCATCTAAAATGGATTTTTATCTCACCTCAATTAGGATGATTTTAAAATTATCAGAATTAATTATCTAAAATGATTTAAATTTAAAACTATCTAACAAGGGGAGGACCAGGTGACTCACCTTGGGATTTCGACCCCAATTTTTTTAATTACTCTGGAGATGAAAAAAAAGATACGTGTCCCGGCGTTTGATAGTATAAAAAGATATAGTATAAAAAGTATTCATTCTTTAATTCATTCACAATTATCATCAGGAGCTTTTACAGATATGATCAAGTACGCTTGGTTTGCATCGAAATTAATTCCTGAAAGAAATGTGTTTTGAAACGTCAACGAAATATGTTTTCCCCCGGACTTACGGAAAAATAAATGTGCATGTGATACTTCTTCATTTATTCATTGTGCAAACTGTAGAAAATTTATATGCTTTAAATGTTTTTATGATGTTTATCATCCAAGTAATTGTTCCGCATCGAGATAATTTAATTTTGTAATAAATCCACAATACTTAAATAATTTAATTTTGTAATAAAAATATTTACATTCACATTTTAGATATTTGTTTATTCTTCTTCTTCTTCTACGATTAATTATTTTAAAAACTAGAAATTTAAAATACTGTTAATATTATTTCCAATTAAATTTTAAATTTAAACAATTTGAAAATTTAGATACGTTGTCTTTATATGTTATCCATTACAAATAACATATATTATTATTGTTACTTATTTATTATTTCAAATATTATTACTTGAATAAAAATTCCCTTAAAATTTAAATTAATGTTTAGAATGTGATATTAAATTAAATTTTCTATTTCAAAAATTTGCATACTATATCAATATCATCAAAATAAATAAAAATAAATAAAAACACTCATTAAAAAAAAAAATTATTGCTCACCTCCATGAGCGAATTTGGATCTTACGAATTATGAAGCAAGCACCTAACTCACGAAGCCAACTGCACTGGTTGGAGGTACAGTTACCGGGAAAGTTCATATGGCGCGTCGTGGTGCGCTTCGGATATGGCCAATTTCCACAAATTTATTACTCCGAAACTAAGGCCTATTCAATCAAACGCCGGGACACGTATCTTTTTTTTCATCTCCAGAATAATTAAAAAAATTGGGGTCGAAATCCCAGGGTGAGTCATCTGGTCCTCCCCTTGTAAACGTAACACTGGTTATATTCTGTGTTTGCTGGGATCTTTCCTAACACTGGATATAACGCGACCAAATCTCCAACTGTTTATAGTTCAAGCGAATGTCTAATTGATATCGAATATAATCCGGCGAAAAATATCTCAAAAATATAATTCGTAATTCAAGGAAGGAATTAAATGTTCTTGCAGTTATAATATTTTTTCTCAGAGTAATTAATCGTTTCGAAATAAAGTCACGTTTATAAAACATTTCCTATGCAAATTAACCTTCGAAAGATATATTATATTCCTTTAGTTACAAAATAGTACAAAATCAGTATAAAATATTATAAGAAAGCCAAGTTACTATTCGGGATATTTTAAGAATTAATATACAAACTAAAATTCAAGGAACTTCACCGTCATAATTTGCAAATTCTCATAGATCGAACATCGAACGCCTGACATCCAGAAGTTCACCGTCTCTGTTGTAACGTTGATCAGCTGCGCGAGTGTAAATCAGGACGATACAGGTTTCCCATACTGCATCTTGCAGCAATATTGCTGCAACCGTTGCAGCAATGTTAAAAGTTGCAGCAGTGTTGCCGCAATGTTGCCGCAATGTTGCTGCAAGACCTGTGCTGTATGGGTTGTGTCAAATAAAAACGACAAGCTGACTTAACGTAATCGTCGTTCGATTTTATTACATTTGTACATATTTAGTTTTCTCCTCTATTTCCATTTCATCCCGAACACCTTCACACGCGTTCACACACGTACCGCTGCTACATTTCAACGCGCGTTCCCGTTTTATGATCTCCGAACCAAGGCCGAAAGTTCGTGTCGTCAAACGGGCGCATATCGCACTCGTACATACACGCAGAAACGTCAGGCAGACAAAGAGGACTCTTACCAGCGACCCTACGAGCTCCGGCCGGTATATTGTTTTTTACCGTAAATAAAATAGCACATTATATATCTAGGACCGACGATGGTCCGACTTTGGTTTCTGTTCCTTTCCTCTGTTCACCTTCTTTTCTTTTTAATTCGACTATACACTTCCCCCTCTCTACTGGCGAAGGATAGACTTCTCGGGAGGTACGCTGCGAATTTCGATACGATTTTCTCTCTTCTTCTTCTCTCTCTCTCTCTCTCCCTCTCTCTTTTAATTACGCACGCACACGTACGCGTAATCGTAACTAAATGACCGTTTTACGTCTCTTTGCGAATCGAGATGTGTACTCCTAGATATTTTTTTCATGTTTTCTTGTGCTTTTGTTCTTTTTTTGTTTTTACAGTATATAACTGCGCCGAACTATCGATACGTATGCAGCTGATCGGCGAACTCGCGCGCGATCGCGCTCGACGCGATCTAAAGTAACTATAATTCGGAGGTCAGTCGTCTAACGCTATCGAGCTATCGAGAGTCGGTCATGGTGCCGAAAAAGACGCGCGTAACGTGTACGTAAACACATAGAGAAATGCCTAATTATCTACGTACTTCCTTTCAAACATCTAACATGATCGTTTAGCGAAACACGTGGCGATTCGGAGCCGCTTCTCGTTGCTCCAATCCATACCATTCATTACATTGTCTTTTCATTGCTTCCAGTCGAAGTTTATCGCTAGAATGGCCAAATTAAATTAGATTTCAGATACTTGTCTACCAATAAAAATCGTCCACTTCAGAAACAATCGATCGTAACACGTATAGCGACACACAATAAATAAGAAGTAAATACATGGCAATATAGGGAGTACAAAATATTATAAAAAAGTCAAGTTACTATTCGCGATATTTCATGAATTAATATACAAACTAAAAGAGCATCTTCACGGAATCAATTTAGATAGAGAATGTCGCAACGATTATTCATGGTAGAAACATTTGAAATTCATAAATTTACAGTTGCTTGGAACGATTTATTAAAGATTTATAAAAATCTACTTTGCTTTTATTGGATTATTTATTGTTGTTTGTCAATTTAAATATATATACTATTAGATTCAAATAAATAGTTGCCTCTTGCTTTTATTCAAACTAATTGTAATTAAATTAAATGTTCTTGCAGTTACAATATTTTTTCTCAGAGTAATTAATCGTTTCGAAATAAAGTCACGTTTATAAAACATTTCCTATGCAAATTAACCTTCGAAAGATATATTATATTCCTTTAGTTACAAAATAGTACAAAATCAGTATAAAATATTATAAGAAAGCCAAGTTACTATTCGGGATATTTCAAGAATTAATATACAAACTAAAAGAGCATCTTCACGGGATCAATTTAGATAGAGAATGTCGCAACGATTATTCATATTAGAAACATTTGAAATTCATAAATGTGCAGTTGCTTGGAACGATTTATTATTCCAAATATAAAAATCTACTTTGTTTTTATTGGACTATTTATTGTTGTTTGTCAATCTAAATGTATATATTATTAGATTCAAATAAATAGTTGTCTCTTGCTATTATACAAACTAATTTTTTGAATTAAATTAAATGTTCTTGCAGTTACAATATTTTTCCTCAAAGTAATTAATTGTTTTGAATTAAAATCACGTTTATAAAACATTTCTTATGCAAATTAAGCTCCGAAAGATATATTATATTCCTTTAGTTACAAAATAGTACGAAATCAGTATAAAATATTATAAGAAAGCCAAGTTACTATTCGGGATATTTCAAGAATTAATATACAAACTAAAAGAGCATCTTCACGGGATCAATTTAGATAGAGAATGTCGCAACGATTATTCATAGTAGAAACATTTGAAATTCATAAATGTACAGTAACTTGGAACAATTTATTATTCTAAATATAAAAATCTACTTTGCTTTTATTGGACTATTTATTGTTTGTCAATTTAAATATATATACTATTAGATTCAAATAAATAGTTGCCTCTTGCTATTATTCAAACTAATTTTTTGAATTAAATTAAATGTTCTTGCAGTTGCAATATTTTTTCTCAGAGTAATTAATCGTTTCGAATTAAAGTCACGTTTATAAAACATTTCCTATGCAAATTAAGCTCGGAAAGATATATTATATTCCTTTAGTTACAAAATCAGTATAAAATATTATAAGAAAGTCAAGTTATTATTCGGGATATTTCAAGAATTAATATACAAACTAAAAGAGCATCTTCACGGGATCAATTTAGATAAAGAATGTCGCAACGATTATTCATATTAGAAACATTTGAAATTCATAAATGTACAGTTGCTTGGGACGATTTATTATTCTAAATATAAAAATCTACTTTGCTTTTATTGGATTATTTATTGTTGTTTGTCAATTTAAATATATATACTATTAGATTCAAATAAATAGTTGCCTCTTGCTATTATACAAACTAATTTTTTGAATTAAATTAAATGTTCTTGCAGTTACAATATTTTTCCTCAGAGTAATTAATCGTTTCGAATTAAAGTCACGTTTATAAAACATTTCCTATGCAAATTAACCTCCGAAAGATGTTCCTTTAGTTTATATATTACAATATAAAACACCCTGCATAAGACTTTTTTCGTATATAACAGCACAGTATGTATAACATTCATTATTCCTTTAAAGTCAGCTTTTTTTAGCCATTATAGTGTGTTGAGAAAAATTCCGTGAAGCCATCGCGTGTTTTTGCGCGACACACTTCTACCTTAACTTCGATAATAGAATCTTTGTTCGTGCGCGAGTCGACAGAGAAATAATGAATAATAAGTCAACAGGAAATCCGCTTAAATTCGCCGCTCGGATTTGAAACTCTGTCAGACTCCTTTCAAGTGGAACGGTGTTGACTGAGCGATAGATTTCGACTACTACTGTTCTTCCTTCTTTTCATTCTTTCTCGAAGCAACGCGGCGCGTCCGATGTGCGCTCACGTGACAAATAGCTGCGTTTCACTTTCGGCACGATGAAGGATGCGAGAGTCACGTGCGTTTGTCAGTCACACTTTTGCAGTCGACAAAATAAGAGAAAAGAAAGAGAAACGCGGGCACCACCACCGCACGAAGGTTCGTCAACGTTCGTAAAAGGCATAGAGTTGTTTGCTTATTCTTTTTTTTCGTTTTGTTTAGATTTACTTCGACAATCGTTAAATATTACCGCACGCGGTAGTATCAAAATAAACCACACCAAGTGTAGAGTATAGAATATTCGTATATATAGATGTATGTATGTACAGAGTATGTATAGAGTTCCTATTTATTTCTTTTTGACCCTCTATTTATTTCCATGCGAAAGCCACCCAAACATCGGTTTTCGTTTTATTAAAAAGTCAGCTACACCCCTAAATTGTTTCATTGTTGCCGCTTGTATTGCTGCTGCTGCTGCTGCTGCTTCTCTTGCTGCTGCTGCCGATGTTACGGTCTCATTGCTGATATTTGCTCTCTGTTACCGTTAGGAAATATACTACGATTAAAGTATATCACAGATGTCAACGAGAAGAACGCTTTAGAGTATGAAAAGAGAGAAGTGAACGAAAGAAAGATATAATTCACGATTCCCAGACACCGTTCGAATAATCACGATTTCTGTAATCTGACCGATCGAACTTCTAATGAATCCAATTTTTCAATTAAAAGAAGATGATTAAGTTGACTGTATATTGCGTAAACTTAATCGTATCTTTTCCAAGTGCTTACATAGGATATTCTTCAGAAAATTTCGAGAGAGGCTCGAAAATTTACTTTGCTATTGGTTTTTTTATAATATTCTAATTAACTAATAGAAAGAAAATATGCAAAAACAAAAGTCTTAAAAATATAGGTCCGCACCAATCGTTTCTAAAATATTTAGCTTTCTACTTTTAACTTGCGTTTCGATTATTTTTTTAATCTATAGCAATAATATTAATTTATATTGTTATTGTTGCAATAACGAGGACGAAAGGAAGAGTTTAGAGCGAACGCTGGCATACTTTGTATATTAAAGTCTGATTCTATTTTGCTGAGATTATATGGTTGCAAAAGAGACACATTTTGATAAAACAAAATTTGATCTTGCGCAGTTAGATCACATCAAGACCATTTTTAATTTCTTAAATAAAATGATTTTTTAAACACGAATCAATTCCTTGGGTCTTTCTATCTACAAAATATTCAAGTAAGATCATACTGTTCTGGATATTGGTGCAACACGCTATACGTAAGACAACAAGAAGACCCGATTAAATATTGATTTTTGTACACTAATGCATTAATGCTTCTATAAACTGCAACAATTTTTTACAAATATTTATGTTTTTCTAACAGTAATCTATTCTACCTGTCGTTACATTACAAAAATAATAGTAATTAAAAAATGAATACTTTTTGAAGAGATTTTTTTATATATTGTAAAAAATATTAGAGGACAAAATACGAAATATCTTGAGAGGAGGAATATTTAGGGGAGATCGAGACTGGATGCCCTATTTTAGAATTTCGAAATTACAACTTCTCAGGCAACTAATTGTTATGACTGATTGTATAAACATGACAGAGGCAACCTTTTTCTATGTATTTTATTAATTTCTATTTATTTATGCCCGCTACGACCCTGTTAACCGTATATTTTGTTTTGTAATAACTAAAATACGAATATGCAACAATATAGCTACCTTGTCCTGGTACTGGGTTCTGTTTTCCAGTAGCGCAGGATAAGAAGCCACGTATAAAATATCTGATCCTGATTAGTAGTTGCATAATCCCTGCGAGAGATCTCCTACCTTAATTATAGGCCATTTATTTCTCTATTTCAATCATTTTATGAATAAAAATTGCACTTGTTTCCAGAAACAGTATATCATATACTTGCAAGAAATTTCATTTTAGTTACTCTAACGTTGCTTAATTTTATTCAGTCACGATGGAGAATATTAGTAGAAAATTTCGAGAAGGGCTCGAAAATTTACTTTGCTATTTTACTAAATCAGTTTTTTCTATTTCTTAACTGTAATTATCTCGATTTAATTATCTTGATTTTAGTGAAATTCAGGGAAAAGTATCTATGTTCTAAAAGGATAGCGATTTTGTATCAATTATTTCTCTCATGATAAATATTAAAAGAAAGTACAGAAGCAACATACCTCTGAGGCCATATAGCCCCAGTCTCCCCTATTTTTCGATGACTACTTCAGTATTTTATACGAAAGATAATCTGAAGAATCAGTATATGTTTAAAAAGATTATATCTTATTTAATTTAAAAGATTCAAAATGATTTTATGACGTGATATTAATGGAGCAGTCTAAGATCAAATCTTTTTTGTTAAAATATATCTTCCTTACAACCATATAAAAATGTTTTCCTCGAAAAACATACGATCTTGATATCTCAGTTAAGGAAATATTCAAGAACGTTGATTATTGCATGAATTATACGTTGATTGCCTGAAAATTCAAGATATCCTGTGCATCGAATAATGCGTAAATAGTTAACCTTCTGAGTTCTGAGATATGATTCATTCCATAAAACATAATAAAAAAACAAAGAACTTACCAAATAAAGTGTTAAATATCTTAAAAATAATCAATTTGCAGATTTATATTTATTGAAACTTTTTCGTTTTGCGCTTTCTGTTGGTCACTTAATCTTATAATTGTGGAAATTATCTACTGCATCGATAAATTTAGATTTATATAAACCTGTAAATCAATGCATGATTACAATGCCTGATTGAAATAGTGAAAAGTAAATTTCGTCTTGCAAGAATTTTAAATCATTAATTGAATTTAGCCCATCAATTGTTCATTGGCTTCAAACTCGAGTTACTAGAATAGAATTTCTATAGATCGATTGTAGATATCTTTGATTTTCCGGACGGTGACTCGCGCGCATTTTTTACGAGTTAGATAATAAGAAAAAGGCGAGACAGTGTGGTCCAATTAATTGCGATTGTCGCGTAATTCGACATAAGATCTAGCTATGAACTACTGAAATTCTCTCTTTCTAATTTTCGATGGGACCTACGCCGTTCTTCTTCCTACCAAATCCTATGATTCGACTTCCGACGACGCTTCAGAAAACAGAACACGAGATCGGTTCCGTTGGCAATAAGAGATTGTCATAGGTTTTTAAGTCGCGCTACGCGCGCGCGCATGGTGTGCATTTTACATAGCTGTGCGCTACGTATTGGTGAATTTTCCCTAATTATATCGTCCACGTTCGGACGATCATTCACGTGAACGGGATTTTCTTATACGCTCATCCCTGTTCTCTCTCATCTCTCTTCCGTTCCGCCCTTAAGACTCGATCTTAAAACTTTCTACTTAAAAAAAAAAAAGAAAAATGCTCGGCTTCGTTTTTGTTTGTTTTTTCTTTTTGGCAAGTTCACGGCGGCGAAGTGACTAGAGTATAACGACTATATTGTCATGCACTACAGTCTTTCTTAGAGCCCTTTCTCGAGTCCTTCGCAACCCTCAGCCGTCGGGAGGTATCTCAGGCGTGGATGCCACCACGCCTTCAACCTCGCGTTGTGACTTCACTGACGCAGTACATACAACTAGACTACGACTTGTTCGATTAAGAGGGATCCAGCGGCTTGCTGACGGAGGACGAAGTCTCCTTGCCGTTCTCCGTGCTAGCACCGCCACTGTCATTGCTATTGCCATTGCCGCTGCCATTACAATCGCTGTTTCCAGCGGCGATGCCACTGCCACTGCCACCGTCGATGCCGCTGCCGCTGCCGCTGCCAGTACCTCCGCCGCCATTTCTCATCGTTGTGGTCGAGGAAACGGTGGTCGAGGCATCCAAGGTCTCGTCATCGCGCAGTCTGTCTCGCCGGTGGCCGTTACTGCTCACCGAATCCGTGTCGTCCACGTATATCCTCACGTCGGATCCGATAGCACCACCCTCGCCGATGTGCACCCCGTCAGCGGCGACGCCGCTACTTCGGCTGCCGCTGCCGCTGCCGCTGCCGCAGCTGATGCTGCCAGCCGCGCTGAGGCTACCCGCGACGCTGCCGGTGCCGTTTTCGCTCGCGTTCCCGCACGGCGAGAGCTCGTCGGACCTGTCGTCGGCGGCGTAGATGTGCCCGTAGCCTTCGCCGCGGATGGCTGCGCTGTACTGATCGCTGGAGCTGGTGGCGGTGGACGCCACGGCGCCGTGCGTCCTCAGTCTGGACGGTCTTCTCTCATTGATGATGGACTGCACGTCGAGATCGTCCATGGTGGCCGTCGGCGCCGTCGTCGTGCGTCTTTCTTCTTTCGGCTTTTGCTGCTGCTGCTCCTCCGGGCGAGGTTTGCCGCCAGCGTAGCCATTCGCGATGCTGGGCGTTCGCGTGCTGCTGCCGGCTGCCGCGCTGGCGCTCGTATCCGACTGCGACGGGGATTGCGTGTCGCTGGATATCCGGCGAGTCATCATCGCCTTGGACGGGTAGATGTCTGCGGTTGGCATGAGAAAACGGTCGCTGGTTAGTTTCGGCGGTACGCTGAGGGTGCTGCTCGAACCAGCCGGCGTGACTGACAGGGAGCTGGTCTGCGGCTTGCTTACACTTAACAGAGACTTGTTCTCTCGCGTCTCGGTGCTTGCCTGCAAAATCGACACGTTTATACAATGTGAAGGTGTGGATCTTAAAAATAATTATAGAGATCTTCTTAAGACTTCTAAGACGGTATTCATAGTCAAGTCTTATATTTAAGAGCGTCTTAAAATCTTCAGATATTGTAAGGATCATTTTATTGACTACGGAGTATCTAAAAGTGAACTTAAGATGGTCTTAAATATAAGACCTGACTATGAATATTGGACTTACAAGGGAATGGTACGTACATATTGACACGCAAGAATCGCTTTGAAATCGGTATCAACGTATAGAGAATAATCGGAAGGGAATTGCTACTAATTCGTTATCATCGCTTCATCCCGGTACTCTAGAAGTCATTTCGTTTTTGGTAAAACCCGCTTGATGGCGAGTTCAGGAATTAAACACAAATATCAAACAGGTTTAGTTCACTGATAGTGCGTGAATGGGGGGACCTATAAATATTATAGAGGTCTAATTACGAAGATTTTTTGTATACGTCACCTGCGGCTTTTGACGTTGTATGTGACTGATGTCTTGACTAGCGGCAGCGTAATTGCGATGTGGAATAATTCGAGGTACGGTCAAATTGCTGACTGGTTTCTCAAAGACCTCGGCGACTTCAAAATGCATTGGTAGTAGTGATCTTCGTTGATGGTGACCCGAATGGAAGGTTTGCCGGCGTTTCGACTTAAACTTGGACGGTCTTGAATTCGAGCGGTAATACGAACTGCGTCGTTTTTCGTCCAAGGATACGGAAATTGAGGCGTCTGCAAAAAAATACCGTGCCCAATATGCTAGTTAAAAAAAAACACATCAACATTTTTGCTACTACGATTTAATTAAAGAACCCTTCCCACAGTTCACCTCGCGTTTCTTTTTATTTAATCACGTTGGTTAGGTTATGAAAAAAAATACAAAAGAGATATGTCTTTCGCTGTCTCTCCCTGTCTCTCCCTGTCTCTCCTCGTCTCTCCTTGTCTCCCCCGTCTCTCCCTGTCTCTCCTCGTCTCTCCCCGTCTCTCCCTGTCTCTCCTTGTCTCTCCTGTCTCTCCTCGTCTCTCCTCGTCTCTCCCCGTCTCTCCTTGTCTTTTCCTGTCCTTCACTGTCTCTCCTTGTCTCTCCTGTCTCTCCCGTCTCTCCCTGTCTCTCCTCGTCTCTCCCTGTCTCTCCCTGTCTCTCCTTGTCTCTCCTGTCTCTCCCCGTCTCTCCTCGTCTCTCCCCGTCTCTCCCTGTCTCTCCTTGTCTCTCCTGTCTCTCCCCGTCTCTCCTCGTCTCTTCCTGTCCTTCACTGGCTCTCCTTGTCTCTCCTGTCTCTTCCCGTCTCTCCTCGTCTCTCCCTGTCTCTCCCGTCTCTCCCTGTCTCTCCTCGTCTCTCCCCGTCTCTCCCTGTCTCTCCTTGTCTCTCCTGTCTCTCCCCGTCTCTCCTCGTCTCTCCCTGTCTCTCCCGTCTCTCCCTGTCTCTCCTCGTCTCTCCCCGTCTCTCCCTGTCTCTCCTTGTCTCTCCTGTCTCTCCCCGTCTCTCCTCGTCTCTCCCTGTCTCTCCCGTCTCTCCCTGTCTCTCCTCGTCTCTCCCCGTCTCTCCCTGTCTCTCCTTGTCTCTCCTGTCTCTCCCCGTCTCTCCTCGTCTCTCCCTGTCTCTCCCGTCTCTCCCTGTCTCTCCTCGTCTCTCCCCGTCTCTCCCTGTCTCTCCTTGTCTCTCCTGTCTCTCCCCGTCTCTCCTCGTCTCTCCCTGTCTCTCCCGTCTCTCCCTGTCTCTCCTCGTCTCTCCCCGTCTCTCCCTGTCTCTCCTTGTCTCTCCTGTCTCTCCCCGTCTCTCCTCGTCTCTCCCTGTCTCTCCCGTCTCTCCCTGTCTCTCCTCGTCTCTCCCCGTCTCTCCCTGTCTCTCCTTGTCTCTCCTGTCTCTCCCCGTCTCTCCTCGTCTCTCCCTGTCTCTCCCGTCTCTCCCTGTCTCTCCTCGTCTCTCCCCGTCTCTCCCTGTCTCTCCTTGTCTCTCCTGTCTCTCCCCGTCTCTCCTCGTCTCTCCTTGTCTCTCCCGTCTCTCCCTGTCTCTCCTCGTCTCTCCCTGTCTCTCCCTGTCTCTCCTTGTCTCTCCTGTCTTTCCCCGTCTCTCCTCGTCTCTCCCCGTCTCTCCCTGTCTCTCCTTGTCTCTCCTGTCTCTCCCCGTCTCTCCTCGTCTCTCCCTGTCCTTCACTGGCTCTCCTTGTCTCTCCTGTCTCTTCCCGTCTCTCCTCGTCTCTCCCCGTCTCTCCCTGTCTCTCCTTGTCTCTCCTGTCTCTCCCCGTCTCTCCTCGTCTCTCCTCGTCTCTCCCCGTCTCTCCCTGTCTCTCCTTGTCTCTCCTGTCTCTCCCCGTCTCTCCTCGTCTCTCCTCGTCTCTCCCCGTCTCTCCCTGTCTCTCCTTGTCTCTCCTGTCTCTCCCCGTCTCTCCTCGTCTCTCCTCGTCTCTCCCCGTCTCTCCCTGTCTCTCCTTGTCTCTCCTGTCTCTCCCCGTCTCTCCTCGTCTCTCCTCGTCTCTCCCCGTCTCTCCCTGTCTCTTTCTGTCCTTCACTGTCTCTCCTTGTTTCTCCTGTCTCTTCCCGTCTCTCCTCGTCTCTTTCCGTCTCTCCCTGTCTCTCCCTGTCCTTCACTGTCTCTTCTTGTCTCTCCCTATCTCTCCTTGTTTCTCCCTGTCTCTCCCTGTCTGTCCCTGTCTCTCCTCGTCTCTCTCTGTCTTTCCCTGTCTCTCCCTGTCTCTCCCTATAATTATTAATTAATTAAAGTATATTTTAATTTAATTTAATTTTTATTTAATTTTTATTTTACGTTTTTTATTGTTTTTTATTAGCTATATGATGCACGCGTAGCGCGCGCATGTATTGCTCTAGTTTATTTGATAATGTGAATGTAGAAAAAAAATTTTTTCGCTATACATATGTAACATTGATTTCTGATGAGAGATCGTTGAGTCACATATATATATATATATATATATATATATATATATATATATATATAACGTTGTTAGCGAACTGATATGAATGTTGTTAAAAATTTCGCATTATAAAATCATAATCCTTATGAAACTTATAACTAAAACTATTTGTAAAATTAAGGAATAGAGGTTTTCTATAGTTTTCCAAAAACGTAATAAATATATAGTAGTATTCCAATATTTTTCAATAGTGTTTCAATAGTTTTCCTGTATTGTGCTCAATATTTTTTTCTTATAGTTTTTTTTCCGTAAGGGCGGTTTGATCGGTTATTCGATTATTCAAATTTTCTGATTAACCAATTAAAAAAATAGATTTAAATCGTTTTTTGGTTTTAAATCGTTAAACCGGTTACAAACCGTTTATCCAGTTTATTCAGATGTAAGATGTTATGTTAATCATATAAAGTCATTTAGCCTAGTGTCAGTAATAGCAGTGAATAATATTCTCACCATCAACGTTTCTCTCTCTTGGTGGATTATAAATAAAGTTCGCAGGCAAGGAACGAACTTTGGCCAATCCTGGTCTCGCGGCAGGTATTTTTTCGTTTCCCACTATGGATTCGCGCTCCCTGTCTTCATCGTCTTCGTCCTCGTCACCATCCGACCTATCATTCATTCCTATGTCGTCTTCATCCTCCTCCTCCACCTCCAGAAGCTCTTCCTGCTCCGCAGCCAATTCTCTCTCCAACTGCGTCTCCATATCGAGCTCGTCCTCCATCTGAAATATGAGTATCACTTTTTGAAGCTTCTTGTGGTCGAGATAAACTCAAGTGTCATCTCCGTTGTATGAGGTATTCCGAAAACGTCACCTGTTTGTGACTCTCCTCCAGATGCTTCATCAGCACAGCGACGACGACGTTCACCAGCACAAATTGCGCCATCAGAACAAAAATGACGAAAAATATCGGAGCGATGATGGTGCTCACGCAACAATTTTTGACGCAGTCTGCAGCGTCGTCGCAAACGTCCCTTAGCGTGTCCTTCATGATTCCATTCCAGTTGTCGCCAGTGGCGACCCGGAAAAGCGTCAAGAAGGCCATGCCAAAGTTACTAAAATGCGCGTGCTCGCCAAGACCTTGGCAAGGCATGTCATCGCTGCATTCTGTGACGGAAGATTAACATCGTTTGATTTATGTTAATCCCGACTACCAATTCTAACGGAACACTATCATTGTTTAAATTCTTGTGTGATCACGTAAATCTAATTTACCAAAATATATTCAGAAGTTTCGTATGAATTTTGCACGAATACTGGTCTCTTTGTTTGTTTCTTTAAGCGATATTTGTTTAAGATTACCATTAATTTTGAAACATATCTTATCGTTTAAAAGATCTTGGTAATTATGCAAGTTAAGGGACACCGTCCGACGATCATGTCTCACACATGGTTTTCATACATGTTGTCAAGGTTAGAACTCTGAGGAATTTTCAAATCATTTTATAGTTGGCTATTATTTATAAGAAAATTATTAATAAAAGAAGTTCAATAAAAAAGAATACATTTTTTTAACAACACACACGTGTGTTGAAAAAATATTAAAATTGCGAACTTGAGTTCCACCAAATATGAAATCTGATTAATCCTATTTTCTAATGCATTACTTCTATGTATTCAAAAATAAATCTTTAGATAGCACAGGATGTTCTGACATCATCCTGGATGTGATACTGCAGTTTTTTTTAAGCATTTTAGATACGTTCAGGATGATTCTAGGATGTCTTATTTAGATTAACTTTAAGATTACCTCTACTTTTTATTGTTAAATATTTATTTTTACATTTGTCTCTTTATACTTATCTCTATATTCAAGCAAAGTGAAATCCATCTCATACTGACCGGTGTTTTCCGTGCAAAATAAAGTCTATCCCTTGTTATATAATAATAAAATTAATTTTATGAATTTTAGTAAATCTTAATGAATTTTACAAATTTTAATAGATGTTAATAAATTTTTCTGAATTTTAATGAATTTTAATGAATTTTAATGAAAGAGGCCAATTAAAAGAGATTTTCAGTAAATATTTCAATAAAGTATTTCCATCAGGAAATGTAAAGATAAATATTTAGAGATTAAAATGTGAAGATAACTTTAGAAGGGAAGTGATACATTATTAAGTACAAAAATAGATTTCATATTTGATTGAATTAAGGTTACTGAATTTAACACCCAATTATATGTTTATTATATAGCTCTGTTGTATAAACATCTGTTCTTGTTAATGACTTTTTTATGTACAATTTCTTGCTAAGACTTTTTGAAGGTTGCACAAAGTCATGACATGACAATATATATGAATGGCAAGGTCATCGGCAAGGTGTCCCTTATTTTAGATATCCCTAAATTGAATTACCAAGAGTATCTTATGAGGTTTTCATTACTTTTCTTACGATCACGCAATAATTAATAAAATATAATCGAAGTGATGATTACCTAGTCGACCAAAAAGTTCCACTCCTAGCGCAGCAAAAATGAAGAAGAGCAAGAAAAACAATAGACCGAGGTTGCCGACTTGCGGCAACGCCTGCATTACCGTATCTAAAAGGGCGCGTATACCCTTTGCCATTTTCAAAAGCTTCAATACCCGTGCTATCCGCAACACTCGCATTACGCGAATTATCGTAGGATTAATAGGAATGATTTTGGATTCGACTTCCTCCAGTACGATGCCGACCACTGATAGTATCACTATTCCCACGTCTAATTGATTCCATCTGTGGAAAAATCATCGTGTAAAATCATAGGATCCTTTTTACAATGCTATTGTTAATATTGCATCTCGAAAAATTCACATGATCAATAAAGTGATTGAAAAAAATATTTTAATATAAAAGAAGAACTATATATCATGCATAATTCCGAAAAATAAAAATTCCGGAATTCAAAAAGTAGGACAATGTTTCGAAAAGTTATTATCTTGAAAAGTGAATACCAGAATAAAATAGCCGAAATATTGAATTCACACACATTTGTTCCGAAAAGTTATAATACTGAAATTTTTTTCGAATATTCAAATAATATCCTGAAATATAAATTTCTCGCGTACGAAATATTGCAAACAAAATTATTCGGTTATTATAATATCGAAGTCAAAATAAGAATATATAAATATTCATTAAGTTTATACTTACAAATGATATATAAATTAACAATAATATTTACTTACAAGGAAGCACTCTCTTTAATTACATAAAAAGAAATATAGTAAAAAAAAAAACAAAAATTAAGTGTAGAATTAGTAGAAAAATAAAGTATGTAATTAGTAGAAAATAAAAAAGTATAACAAATAAATAACATAAAATAAGATTAAAATATAGAATAAGCAAATCAATTAGAATAATTTAACTCACACTAAATAATTTTAAAAATATAATATGTATATATTCAATAAATAGAAGAATATAATAAATGTGTGCATATATATATATATATATATATATATATATATATATATATATATATATATATATAT